CGCGGCCCTCCTCTCTAAAATTCTGTCGGTTGGTGTAATGAAGCCAGAGTGCGTGAGCCAGCAGAGGACGAAGATGAGGCATGAGAGGCAGAAATGTGGAGGATTATTAGTGGAGATGTAGTGAAGGCATGTGTTAAAGGAAGCAGAGACCAGGCAGTGATCTCACTGCTCGACTAGCCCCTGATTTGGAAGAAGCGGGCGACTGTGGCAGTCCCGGTTAATGCATCAAAGAGCAAAACTAGACACGCGGTACGACTAACAACTTGTTTCTCAGACAGAGAAGAACCGGGTTTGACAATGTTTCACGATGTTGCACTGAGCTCTGGAGCGCAAACGGGGTGCTGGAGCCTTTAACTGCAGGTTTTTCGGAGGCCAATTTTCTCCTGATCTCCCTCAGATGTTCTAAAGTGGGATCTGAGGAAGAAAAACATAACAAGGCTGAGCTGGAGACAGCGGAGAAGAAAAAGCAAATTGGGAGGAAGAAAGACTGAGCGAGATAAAACAGTCTGGGTAGGAGAACAGAGCTGCACGGAGACAAAGAGGGCGATACAGTTGGTAAAAAAGAGCGAAACAGGTGGGAGGAGAGGGAAGAGGAGCAGACGAGGAGGGATGAAAGGATGGGAATGATCGACAGCAGACGAGAACAACAGCGAAGGTGAGACAGGCGGCAGGCGCTCTGCAAAAATGTCCATCACGACAAAACATTCTGGCACATTTTAGTCTGAAATAAGTCAAAAACACACTTCTGCCAGCAGAGGAGACTAATTTACGTTTTTATCCGAACAACTCGGAATTCTAAATAAAGAAGGCGGCAGATTATTCCCATTTGTGAACACCGATCTGATTTGCAAACCAATCGTCTCATTTGTTGGCACATTTCTCTTTTTTAACACGAGCTAGTTCATAAAAGTCTTTTGTTGTTCTAAGCATCCGGCGTCTGCTCCATTATTTTCTCCAGCGCCGTGGAAGTGAAGCTGCGGTTTGAACAAACGCTAACGACAGGCGAGCCGGCGCACATTTCAAAGAGCAGAATCAAAAGGAGACGGCTGTCACTGCGCCGGACTCTCTGCTTCCGGCGTGATCTTTGCA